TGCTTGATGGTAACTAATTTTCACACCAAATTCACGTTCCATGTCACGAGCAATAGAGGTAGGATCATACGACCTGTACGTATTATCCAATTTTCCCATAATCTGTTCGGTAATTACAGAACTAGTAGCATGTCGATGTGCATTACAGCGATAATCTATGGAACATGTGTGCACATTGTTGAATTTACGGATCATGAAGATGGCGGACTGCTTGACACTCGAAGCACGTAACATCCACTTGCAATTATCGTCCGCGCATACAACGTTTAACATTTTTAGGCTTGACCTGCTAACCTGAAATTGAAACTTCTCTCGCAAAGAAAGTAGACGAATTCTCGAGTACAACTCTTTCTTGGTAAAAAATATTTGCCTTTCGGTAAGATCCGCTGTATTCACAATGAAAATCCAGTCGCATGTATCCGGACTTTTGGAATGTGATAATAGTTCTTCGTCAACGTCAGCAATATTACCAGTATTTGTACCATGTAAGGGATCGTCGAACATCTCATCTAATGGTGTAGTCCCAACATCGAAAATTGGAGTATCCGCTGCATTATTGTTTGGGACACTGTGCTGATGATTGAGCTCCTCGTCCTGTACGGTTTGGTGATCTTTCGCTGCAGCGAACAATTGTTGGCTATAATTTGTATCCCTCTCAATTTCAACACTTGGCAGGCCGATTTCCAAAGTCGTAACGCAAAGGGCAGTTTCCTTATGAATTGATATGTACCAATTTACGTCTTCATCTTCGAGTATTTCGACCGACGGTATATTCATGTTCGAAACATTGAACTTCAATTCCATTTTTGTGCACGGATCGAAAATACCAAGTTTCTCGTTCAACCGTAACAATAGCCCCGATAGTGTAATACTGCTCGGCACTAAAATGGAAGTGGTTTTGTCCTCAGTCCACTTTCATTCATCATTCACGTGAACAAACTTTCCCCCGTGCGACACAATAAATCTCAAATTATTGTTCATACCTGAAATGTTGGGATTGCAACGATAAGAATTATGCGCAATCAAAATGTCGACTATATAATAGCATAGAAGTGACACGTTTCAATATTTAAACCTATGCAATACTACAAGGTCAAATGAAGGGTGTCAAGAATTTTCAACTGTCCAATTCGACAGTTTAGTTATCTATCTTGACAATTTATAAATGTCAGGTACGACAGTTCAAATGTCGATCCCGACAGTTGCGAAATGTCGAGTTCGACAGTTCAAGTACTGGAACTGCCGAGAAACTTTATGTGACACCCCGAACTTAAGCTTCGAGGGTCACGTACTAAACATCACAACTTCAGTCTTTGGTGCATGTAAATACTCTTAAATAGAAGTATTACATGTTAGAAACTTATTCTCAATTTGGTAAAACAATTCTTATAAAATTTGATGGCCGGTAAAAGTGCATGTCAACATGAAATTATACATTACATATACGGCCTCGGCACTATCAAGGTTACTTGGGGCAGCAAGTTTGACAATTTTTATAAAATTCATCCCGACTCCGTTTTATATGAAATTTGCAGCATTAGAAAGATAATTTCAAGTAGTTTTCTAGATTAAAATATGAAATTTTCCAAGATCATATGATATGTACGTTTTACTAAAAATAGTGACGTTTGCACAGGAAATCCAGATTGACCTCTCGACGTTTAAAACTTGATATCTCCGGCCACAGATATCCAAATTGAGTGATTACTGCGTCCATGTTTAGAAAACTCAAAGAGGAACACAGAAATATTTTTAGAGTCTCAAACGGATGTTTATAGAGTTAGAAACATCATTTTGAAATTGACTCCAGAAACTGTCCCGTTTCTACCTTTTGTCTCTTGCAAGGAAAATAAACTACAAAAATGTCTCTTAAGATAACGTGAAAGATATAATTACAAAATTTACTATTAATACCATATTGCATCATGTCATGTACATATTTTTACATAATACCATAAGAAAAACAGATGGAAAAACAGTCATCGAACAAAACATACAAAAGAAAACTTTCGGTACAAAACATCTTTGTCCTTAATCCATCATCGATTTTTCCAACTAACTTCCATCAATCCAACGATCATGGATCTGAAAATTTAGCATAACATACTATGAGTATAAGGAATACTCAGTAAGATACCATGCTTGGATTTTTATCATGATAATACTACACAAAAGAATGCAATCAAACACATACTTGCACATTCCGGCTTGCCGGTGCCCTTCGGACTTGTCCTAAGGCATAAATAGATATCTAACTTTGTAGACTTGTCAACCATATGCATATTATGGGTGCAAAGTGAAGAAATTTTCTCTATAGCAATGGATATATATATATATAAGGATAAAAGGCTTGATTATTTTTTTTCTTTTTTCTCTACTCCACCGCCTCACCTCCTTTTTCTCACATTTTTTTCTTACTTCTACACATGTTTGGTCTATTGCCTAAGTGTATGGTGATGATAAATGACAAGTGGGTTGATTATAGGGTAATAAGTGGCCACAAAACCTAGATTTACAAAGGAAGTCTCTCATCTTTTCAACTAATATAATCTAACCCCTCTAACTTTCATTATTAGCAAAGCATATTCCAAATTTAAACTTGTATCCAACTTACATATTCAAAAATTGTAGATTGTAAAATAATTTAATCGTTTGGTCAATTGAAATCCTAACAAAATAATCCACTTCATTCAAATTCAAACTTGACTTAAGTTTCGACTAACTAATAATCACTTCATGTATACACAACATTTAGCACTTCATGCTTGCATTTATTAGCTACCTCTAGCATTAACTACTACAAAGGTGGTGTCTCCTTTTCCTTATGGCAAAAAAGAATATTGAAAGTTAAATCACTATCCTACGAAAATTTAAACGAGCATAAAATTTCGGAGTATTACACTTTAAATGTGTTTGGTAGTATTAATGCTTATAATCATTTCTCAACTACAACAATTACAACATCACAACCTATTTTCAGAAATAAATGACTGAATGCTTCATTAAATATGGAATACTTTACATTTTTCAAAATATTTTTGGTATATTTTTCGTTCAAAAATATTAAAAAAAAGACCATCATGATTAATAGTAGTGATTACTATGTTATTTTTAACATTCTAAAAAAAAGTAAGTTGTTACATAGAAATATAAACAATTCGTAATAATTGACCTTTCAAAATAGATGAAAAAGATGGATGAAGTAATGTCTTTTTGAGGAAGAAGAAAATGGATGAAGAAGATGAATAAAATAAGGGTTTGTTTGACAAAAAATTTGTTTTTTAATGTTAACTAGGGTTTTGAAGGATTTTATATTCATTTTTTTATTAACTAAATTCGTATTTTATAATATAATATTCATATATTCAATGATTATAATATACAAATTAAACAATCAAATCGCAACATTAATTATTTTGAAAAACAATCATGAAGGAGCATTAAATGCTCCAAAAAATGTCAAATTAAGGGTAATTTAGACAATTGACAACAAGAAAGTAACATTTTTGTACAAATTGTGTGCACATTAAAGTTTTTTGTGCATTTTCAAAAAAAGTGACATTTTGGTAAATTCCCCTTTCATAATTGGAGACTTGGGGTATCATTTTCATCACTTTCAGCCTCATCTTTAATCTTTTTATATGGTTTCTGTAGAATTGTTTGTGCCCAATTAAATTGGAAAAATATATTTGAAATAGTATATTAATGGAGTCTATATGGTCAAAAAAAATAAAGAAAAATTTTAAATTTACTTGTAATATTATTTTATTGGAAAATAGGTAGTTCAAAAAAAAAGAGAAAAATATATTTTGAAAAAAAAAATGAGAATTAAACAAGGCCTTAGTATTTTAATTATATGTTAATCACCACAAAACATCCTTACCTTTCAATGTGATTATGCAAAACGTTCATACCTTTCATTTTTGACACTTTTACCCTTATCTTCACATTTTATTGCGAAAATCATCAATTTCATCAAATTTCTCGTGTAAAATGAAAAATATACCCCTTATTTAAATAAAACAATAAAAAAGAAAAGAAAAGTTAAAAAATAAATTGCAATCATATTCTCAAACTTTTTAAAAAGTGTAAATGAGTTCAAACAAATTATTAAAAGAGTAATTAGCACAAAACGTCCACACCTTTCATTATTATTGTGCAAAACATTCTTACTTTTCATTTTTTGACATTTTCATCCTTATTATATTTCATTGCAAAAATCATTATTTCAATTAAAAGCTGTAAAATGACAAATATACACTCATCTTTAAATAAACAAAAATAAAAAAATAAAAAATAAAGAACAAATTGCAGCTATATTTCCAAAACTTTCAAAAATGTACAAATAAGTTTCAAGTAAATAATTAAAAAGGAAAGTGATTATTTATTTGTATTATTTTAGAAAAAATTGGAAGTAGAATTGCAATTTGTTTTTTATTTTTCTTTTCTTTATTTCCGTTTATTTAAAGAGGGGGTACATTTGTCATTTTACAGTTTGTAATTGAGAAAATGAATGAAAATAATGATTTTTGCAATGAAATATAAAAATAAAGATGAAAATGTCAAAAAAATGAAAGGTACGGACTTTTTCATAATAATAATGAAAAGTATGGACATTTTGTGCAATTATCATTTTGATAATTTATTTGAACTCATTCGTACTTTTTAACTTTTCCTTTCATTTTTATTGTTTTATTTAAATATGGGTTATATTTGTTATTTTACACGAGAAATTTGATGAAAACTATTATTTCCGCAATAAAAGGTGAGAGTAAGGATAAAAGTGGCAAAAAAATGAAATGTAGGACATTTTGCACGGTAACATTGAAAGGTAACAACGTTTTGCGTTAATTACCTTTAATTGTATGTTAATAATCAAAAGATGACTACACAAAAAAATTCTCAAAAATTCTTCAATATTTTCTGAAAATAGATTAATAATTTGTTTCTTTAGGTTTGGCGATGGTTTGCAAGAGAGGATTAAATAAATTAAACAATACTAAAAAAGGAAAATAAAATAAATTTTATTCATGATAATACAGACACCTCTCGCTATACCATATCAAATATGCTATAATATTTCTTTCCTACGTACAAAACTGATATTATCCACTCCTCATTGTATTTTAATTTACATATTTTATACATAAAATAACAGTATAATAATTTTTATTCAACGGATTGGATCTAATTTGTGTCAAATCGCCCTGATTGAAATTGCACCGAGTCAGCGGACTTCATAACTCGCTTCCTAACCGAGCGGACTCACTTCCATTTTCTCTCCTCAAACTCGGTGATATTCCACCTTCTTTGTGCACCTTGAACACCTCAATTTCATTTTTCAACTCTTCTGTCAAACTCCATAATATATCAATTGAAGGCTTCTTAATGCCTAAAAGAATACCTATCCTGTCTTTACAATTTTCTAGCCGCTTCAAAGTGCGTATTAACTCAACTGAGTCACCAAAACTCTGGGAACTCAGTCTCTTCTTGAACTCACCTAGTCTTAACAAAATTTCATTAACTGCTGATAAATAATCATCACCCAATAATCCCATGACCTCGTTTAATAAAACGTTACCTTCGACTTGGGTAGTATCAGGTGCTTTGCACATTTCTTCTATTAGTCCAGTCAGAGAATCAACATCCTTGATCAAGTCAACGTTCAAGACATGTGAGATTCTTTCTTCTTGACTGTCTTTAATCATGCTGTTTGATGATGGAGAGAGGAAATAACCCAAAACCCTAGAAGTGAAAAGTAGGGTTTCCAAGTAACGAGCATACCATCTCACCCATGCTGAGATAACCCATGATCCGGCGGTGGCGCCGTCTCGGAAGGCTGTGAGTTTCAGATAATTATGTCCGCCTGTGGCCGGAAAAACTGAAAGCTGGTCTTGAAGTATAAAGGGTCCACGCTTAATGATGTGGTGAATAATTAAAAGACACTTGAAGGCAACATAACAGTTGCTAGTCGAGTTTAGGCGATCCATGAGGGCGGTGATGACAGCCGAGGCGGTGGTACGTGAGCTGTTTCCAAAAGATAGGATAGCAGAGAGGTGGTGGTCATCGGGCGGAGCTGGTGGCCCGTGGGTGGTGGCACGGAGTATGGCTAGGCGGAGAGAAAGTGAAACGTTGGATTTTGAGAGTAGGGCTGCTTTGGATAACGATGCCTTATCTTTGATAACTCCTAGGATGTCTCTAATTGTCGTTTCTCTTCCCATGGATTGTGTTGGAGAGAAAAAGTTGAGGAGGCTGAGAGAGGAGATTACAGATAATGAACGGACGGATTTGACAATTATAGGATTTTAGATGAATTAAAAAAAAAAAAAAAAAAAAAGGGTTGAACCCCAACCTTGAGGGCTCCCACCGCTCCGCTCCTAGAGTTTTGTGAGGGAGGTAAATCGCGGGATGTACTCCAATAGATCAGGGAACAAGAGCTGCTTGTACATTGCGCCTATAAGGTGTTCAATTTTATGTCTCAAGAATCAAACTCCCACACGACGATTGTCAGCAAGACGTGAGATAACCTCACTCCTGTCCTTTATACCACTGGACTATGTCCCGAGGGCGGATTGTAGATGAATTTTGATCATTCAAAGAGGATGAGAGAGAATATTTGGAGGAAGCGTGTGGACTGCTTAAAAGAGTTGACAAATACCTTGAATAAATTTTGTCAAATTGTGTATGCTCGTAATTAAGTGGTAAAATTATAGGTTGATTATCATTTAAAGTCAACTATTAATTTTGATTACTAAATTTCGGTAGGATTTACAGTTTTATTTATTTATACATTCACATTTATGTTAACTATTGATCTGTACATTCCACCACAGTTTATAATCTATGAAAAGTTTGTCATATATACAAAAATATTGAAAAAAATTGCACTATTATCAAATGACATCTATATATACAATCTCGATCCTGAGATAGAGTCTGAGATAGAGGGAATCCCACATAAGTACGAAATTTTAATTGGGTATCCAACTTATAACTACTTTAGCAAGCTAGAATATAATGTATTCAACCTTTTATTATAGTTGAATTGAATAAATTTCTTTGAATGAATCTAAATTTTACTTTCAATTTTTAACTAGTATTGTTGAAGAGTCAATTGACAAACCAATACCTTAACTCAATTGAGAGGGTCCTTCTGAATTTCTTGCTCATCTCGCCATTTTTATATATTGGGCCATGTTTGATAACCCTTTTGTTTCATGGAAAATGGAAAACATTTTCCATTTCCAATCAAAATTGGGTGTTTGATTGTAAACAAATTTCATGGAATTGATTTTCCATTTCCTACCCCCACGTGACCCTCTTTTCTAGCTTTTTAAGGAAAATCGGGTTTTGGTGAGAAAATGACTTCCAACTTCTTCTTCTTTATTTTTTATTTTTAGCAATGGGAACAAAATCTATCAATAATTGTAAAAAAAAAAAATTATCCTTCTAATTGACAATTTTCATTAAAAAAAGACCAAACGAACCTCAAAATATCCAAAATTTTAACATTTTTCAAGTGAAAAATTATACAAATCAAACACATTTAATTAACAATTCTCAGAAAACAAGTTCTAGGAAATTCAATTCCCTAGAATTTATTTTCTTTCCATCCAAATTTCATCCTTACAATTTTTATATATTAGATTATTGAAATCTCTTCTAATAATGCTCAATGTGGTGTACACAACCGTTTCATGTTTTCACTAAATTGAAATTGATCCGAGGATAAGCTTGTTATTGAGACATTAATCTATTCGAGATCAACGGTACAATTTTTTCTTTGAAATTTGTATGACATTGGAATTGTGTATTATTAAAATGGAATGAGTTTACCTAAGAAGTAACAAGTTGGAAATGTATGAATTAAAAGAGGCCACGTGAAAAAGAAATTTGACAAATTGAACAAAATATTCAACTTGCAAATTTATGAGAATGGCTTAATTTCTACCCTACATTAATAAAATACAATTCAAACATTGACCAGAAAAAAAGTGGGGCTTAGAATATTTCAAGCATCCCTTTGACTTTATTGATTTGATTCAGTAAGCTGGTTAGAAACGTACGCATCAAATCTGAAATTAATATATATATAATGAAATTGTTCAACAATTTTAGATCAATACGACAATATGGGATCTGATTAGTGTTAAATAATGTGTAAACTAGACTTAAAATTCTTGTTCGGCTATGAAGAATATGTAGAATAGATGTAAGAATAGTGTGATCTACCCTCGAAGATGGATGAATGAAGTGGTAATTTATTTAACTTCAACAATCAAATTAGTTCTCTTTACATAATAATCTATATCACATATCACTAACATAAGACGAGTAACAAATTAATGTGGAGCAACACTCGTACACAAGGTAAGTCTAGATTGTAAGAGATTCTTGAAGTATACTAATAGTAAGTACATACATTGCACGTCTTATGTATTGAATGAATGGTATGTGCAATAATTTTGAAATTACTAATATCCTTTTTTCAAAGTTGTAGAAGTAATTGATATGGTTAAAGAAAAAATTAAACTTGTTACATATATATAATTCTTTTTATGAAATTATATATATAATGTAAAACGTTAAGTAAATTAAAATGTAATATTATGATCACATTAACAACTCTTTGTATACAATATATTTTTGACAACATCCCACAGTTTTTTTTCTTAACCATATGCTTTTACCAAAAAATTTGTTGCTTGCATTAAAATTTTGCGAGAAAGTGTAACAAATAATTTTTCACGAGAGATTACATGTTCAAGAAAATATATTTCAACCGTAGGCATTGTTTGTCCTTCAGCCTTGTTAATGATCATTGCAAAGTATAAACATGTTAGAAGTTGTTTCCTCTTTAATTTAAATGAAAATAAAAATAAAAACTCATTTACACCGACAAACCGAAATATTGAAAGAGCATTCTTATTTGTAGTTCATATGGTCTAAAAAATTGTACTCCATACAAAAATATTCACAACATTCATATTTGTAGTTCACATAATCTACAAATATATAAACCATATAAAACATTTACAGCTATACAAATTATCGTAACACACAATATTTCAAGTACAAAAAATGCGCCAAAGTGGAGAATATAGATTCAATCGTCAAACTCAGTGATCTTCCATCTTCTAAAGGAAATAACCGCAATTCGTGGAGAATATTTCTTAAAACCCTGATTCTAAATGCCAATTTGTAAGGCCTTATATAAATAATCATTGAACGTGATCGTTTATACAAAAGTAAAAACCTTGCAAAAGGGTACCACGTTATGGAGGAAAATGCACGATTATTATATGAAAAATGTGCAAGACTTGGATCAGAAAGCCTTTAAAATCAAAGGACAGATATTCTCAAATTTAAATTTAGGGTCCGTCTGATTGCAATAATAGAATTTGGGGTAGAAAAAAAACGAATTTCAGATAATTGAATTGTTTAGAACTTGTTTTATTGGGAATTGTCAATTAAATGTATTTGATTGGTATAATTTTTCATTTGAAAAATGTTGAAATTTTGGATGTTTTGGTTTTCATTTGACGTTGTTTTTTTTATAAAAATTGTTAATTAAAGGGATAAAATTTGTTACAATTGTGAATAAAATTTGTTTCCATTATAAAAAAATTTAAAAATAAAAATAAAAATAATGAGAAGGTGGAAAACCCAATTCCCACCAAAACCAAAGGAATTGGAATTCCTTAAAAACCAAGAAAATGACATCACATGATGGAGAATTGGAAAACTAATTCTATGAAATTTTTTGCCATCAAACAACCAATTTATGGTGGAAATGAAAAATATTTTCCATTTTCCATGAAAAACTAAGACTATCAAACAAGCCCTTAATCAAAATTTAGATCTCGTGTTCCTTTTTTTAAAAAAAAAAAAAAAAAAGATAAGGCATAAATCCATTCAACTTAAACTTTTCCAACACTTTTTACATACCTAATTAGTAAAAATAATAATAATTAGAGGTCTACAAACTATAGCATCTATAATATAGAAAAATTAAGAACTTAAGAAAGAAAAAAACGTGTACTATTGGTTATTATGTTCAAGTCTATTTGCAAAACACGTCTACAAAAATAATATATTATTAGGTCATAAAAATTACCATAGAGTGTAATATAATAATATTATTACTGACCAATAATATATATTATTTGTTCTCTCTCTTCTCTCTTTACATTCACACAAGAGTGAGAACTGTATTTTATACACTTATTTGGATATAAAAATATAGACATTTAATAGTTCTTTTAAAATAATTCTAGTTTAATTTATTGTATATTTTGTTTATTAGAGTAACTCAATGAATAGAAATGAAAGAAAAGAAAATTGGTCAAAAAAGAGCAAGATCAAAATTTTGGGATTAAATTGTAAATACTCGAAAGTTTCAATTTGCTTAGTTAATTTTGTATTAAAACCAAATTATGTTACAATAGGTATTACTGCTTTGTAACCACAAATTCAATACAATTAACTAGAAAATTGAAACATCTTGTTACAATTTTATTCAAATTTTATTTTTTTCCCCCAACAAGGAGACCAGGGCTAGGAGATTTAGACTTGCTGAGCAGTTACAATAGCCTTTTCAGATGGATGTTTTATGTCAGTGTCACTCTTCGAAGTTTTTTTGCCAAGTTTCTTCTCTTGGTATTATAAAACAAATACTCTTGATTTTCGTATCGTTGTCCTAGATTGCCAAGCAAAGAATTTTTTTTTATTTTTTTTTGTCTTCTTCTACTTGTCACTATATAGATGACACATTTATGTCGTCCAACTACGTTTTTAAGATGCCCAATGTTACACCCCCGATCTAACCACTTCAAAACAAATGTCACACCACTCTTCGAAGTGACAGATATCAATCCGACACTGTTACACCCCTGATTTAACCATTTCGGAACAAAGGTCACACCACTCTCCGAAGTGACAGGTACCCAAACAAAGTGCGGAACAAAGGTTACACCACTCTTCGAAGTGACAGGTATCCATCCGAAGTGGGACGGCCTCAACATGACACGCTGCAAGGTAAATAGTAGATCCACTGAGGTAATCAAAGTGTCACTCAACTCCAAAGTACCCCCTTAGTAGATCTCTCCACTGCCACTATCAGAAAGATATCTGTCATGATCTCCTCTGCCTCCAAGAATCAATTGATGTGACGTCTCCATAGATCTAGTTGATATGACATATTGAATTTATGTCAACTCAACTCAGAAGAACTAATTGTTCACCCACTCTAGATGCGACTGATTGACGCCTATG